ACAACGACCATGACATAATAAATGCCATTTATAACTCAATTCACCCCAAAAATCCTAATGGGTGATATTTTTTAACCTTAGCATTGAAGATTATCCTTAGTTTCACAGAAAATATTGAAGATACTACAAGGTTTATATTTCTAAACCAGTGCGAAAGTGTTTTTTCTTTTATCAATTTTTGATAATGAAAGCTTCCAAATCAATGAAGCTTTGAAACCTCCACTTTCTCACTGGCACAGAATGCATGGTTTCTTTGACATTTTTTTGTAGTACAGTATGGGCCAAATTGAACAAACACTATGAAAGGGAAACTCCTGGTTTCAAAAAGATAGATGAAGACTTATGGACTGAAGTCCAATTTTATGACAAACGCAATGGTTTNACTGATAAATGAAACTCCAACAATAATAGTAATAGTGATAAAGAACAAACAATGAAATATATTTCTTCAGAGACGTTGTTGGAAATTTCTTCCAGCTTCTACATATAGGCGACACCTTTTCTGAACGTTTTTTGCCGAAATCATTAGTTCAATAGGAGTGAGAGAAGCAAAACTTCACATCACTGCCGCTTCAAATTCGTATCTAGAATTGGTCAGTACTTTAAAAATAAGATCTTTCAATCTTCCCCAAAAGTAAACGTCCATAGTCGTTAGGTTCCGTAACCTGGCCTACCAACGCTTGGGTTTTTGGTTGGTTATCCAGTTATTACTTGAATTTGCAATCAAATTTGGTAGGCTTGTTGATATTTTCAAATTTCGCGTTGACTTTTGAGGTTATTTTCGACGGCTCGTAAAACGACTATTTCTTTCAAATCCCTATTTGATTCATATGATTCTTTTGAATTTTACCAGCATCAATTAGGTTAGGTTAGGTTAGGTTAATCTTGCGAAAATGCCTCTCTGCTTCTCATACTTCATTGAGAATGTGTTTGAAAATTGAATAGAAACCACTAATTGAAGAGCATCATTTCTGCTCAAATCAAAATTTGACAGCTACCTGTAAAGATTTGCATTCTGTTTTATCGCTGTTTCGTCCAAAGCCTACTTGCTTAAAAGCTCTGTATTTCAAAGATGACTCTACCAAAACATCGAGTGTGCTATATTTTTGAAAAAGTATGTATAAGCTCCATTGAAATATGCAGGAATATGCAGGGTGTTATATCAAAAAACAATGATAGATATCGATATGCGGTTTTCACCATTGAGTTCATCATAGATAGATAGGTAGATTTTATTGAAGTTTTCAAATTGAACATATGAAAACTTAAGTCAGTAAGGTATAAATATATAACTAACATACAACAAAAGATAACAAAAGATCACAGGTTTATACATTCGTGGGAGTACATTTTAGTATAACTCAATACTGACAAAAAAAAATTAGATAAGTGTCACAGATATAAACGCATTAGTCTAAAATATATAGATATCAAAATATAATGAAAATGAAAATATACTCTCGCATATATCATGTCTATATTTGTTAGGATTATAAAAAT